AGGCTTTGAAAATAATCCTCTGTTCTCTGAGACAATTTACACAATGGCCCTGCCCTCCAGACTCCAGGTATTGGCCACAGTCTCTGGATTTTGAGTGGAGGCCCCTTGGCCCTGGGCTTCAGCTCTGTCTTCCAGGCCCACTGGGACAGCAACTCAGCTCCCTTGGCTTTAGGCTCACCATTTTCCTAGTCCATCAGAGTGACAACTCCACCCTGAGAAATACCAGAGGCCATGGCTCCACCCTTTGAAACCCTTGAGGTCATGGCCATACCTTTTGAGACTGAAGCAGCTCAGCTTCTTGTGTCCTTTGTCTCTTCAGCTTCTGCTTCCTATGGGCTCTTGGCCCTCAGGCCTCACGCCTGCATCTGCCCTGCTGGGGCAAGTGTTCCAAAGCTCACTAGCTCCACCGGTATAAGTGCCCGGCGGCACCCTTCTGTCAGAAAGCCTCATGCACACAGACACTCAGCTCTCTCGACCTCCGTGGGTCGGCAAGCCTAGCTCCACTGATAAGTGCCCGGAGGTACCCCACTCCGCCAGGAAGCTTCCTGCACACAGGCACTCAGCTCTCTCGCTCCGTGGGTCGGCTCCAGCGCCGTCTTTCACCAGTCTCCTGGTTCTGCTGCTGTTGGTTCTCTGCTGCTGCCATAGGTTCTCTGCTGTTGCTGGTCCTCTGTCACTGCCGCACGTCTATCCATTCACAGTTTTAAAACCGCTTCCACATTTTAGGTATCTGTTAGAGCAGCACCCCGCTCTCTCGGTACCAAATTCTGTCTTAGTCATCTAGTGCTGCCATAACAGAAATAGCACAAGTGGACGCTGTTAATGAAGAGAAGTTTATCTCCTTACAGTAAAGTAGGCTAAAAGTCCAAATTCAGGGTGTCAGCTCCAGGGGAAGGCTTTCTCTCTGTCGGCCTTCCTCTCATCAGTGTTCCCCTGGACTAGGAGCTTCTTGGCGCAGGGACCCTGGTCCAAAGGACGCGCTCTGCTCCCGGCACTGCTTTCTTGATGGTATGAGGCCCCCCGCAAATGAATTTTTTAGGAGTGAATTTGGAAATAAAATATATTAGATGTCAGCTTTAAAATTCGTTTGAGACAATACGTCAAACCACACAGAAAGTTTCTATGGTTTGTTAGAACAAAAGCCTTAAAGATGGACTAGAAAGAAGAAGCCTTTGGAAAATTTGGACTTTATAAAGCTGAGCAGATGTTAATACCATTTTAGACAACTCCCAATTGTTAAGGTTTATGGGAAATCTTAGAAAATAAGGATAGGTAGTAGAATAGAAGCTTTTAAAAAATAATTTATATGACTATTTTTAAAAAGCCTCAGTACTTTTGTTAGAGCATTTCAATTTTAGGAAAAGTATCTTTTCAAATAGAAGCTAAAAACATGGAGCCCCCAAGTCATTTAATTATATTTATCTTTAGTGGTGTTTTTTATCTGTCCATGTTACTTTAGACTAGTTCTGGTTGCTTATGGTTTTTCTTTCTTTGGTGGTCTAGGAACCAAACAACAGGAAATTGTTGTTTCTCGTGGGAAAATCTTGGAGCTGCTTCGCCCTGATCCCAATACTGGCAAAGTACACACCCTCCTAACTGTGGAAGTATTTGGTGTTATCCGATCTCTCATGGCCTTTAGGCTGACAGGTGGCACCAAAGACTACATTGTGGTTGGCAGCGACTCAGGCCGGATTGTTATCCTGGAGTACCAACCGTCTAAGAATATGTTTGAGAAAATTCACCAAGAAACCTTTGGCAAGAGTGGATGCCGCCGCATCGTTCCTGGCCAGTTCTTAGCTGTAGATCCCAAAGGACGAGCTGTTATGATCAGTGAGTGACTTGCTCTGTTGAATGCATATCTGGCTCTCCCAGATGCTCAGTTTAGAATAACAATGCTGTGATCTTGGCAGAATGCCAGTGCATCACTTAAATAGGTGAAATATGGCATCGTACGTCAACTAACTCCATGGTTTAAAGTTGCATTTTTCTTTGAAAATAATGGGGAAGCAGATGTTTTTCAAATCGAGCAAAAATTTAATTTCTTGGTTTATCTCCAGAAAGACTACAGTGAAATGATGTTTCATTATTAGACAGTGGATATGGTTGCTTTCATCGGCCTGAGGTGATGACTCACATTCATGTTTCTTCTCTGATAAATGTCTTGAAGAAAATTCTGTGTATCTGACCAGGCCTTTTGAGGGCAGCCTTCTCTGAGCAGTTTCCAAATCATTAGCTCTAATTCAAAGAATAAAACTAGCAATTTTATGAATTATTGTTTAGTTTCTCAGTATCCTTAAATCTACATGGCACATTAAAAAAATTTCAAAGAGTTAGTGAGATCTTAAGATCCCTATTAGGAACGGGGGGCAAAAAGTGGTGCCCCCTGTATTTTAATGATAGAATCCTGAGTTAAAATACTTAGTGCTGGCTGTTAATAATAATGATTTTTTTTTGTTTTGATCATGATATTTTGTGAGCACCTCTTATTACCTAGAGATCTTGTGTTTTTTATCTCCTTTGACTACAGGTGCCATTGAGAAACAGAAATTGGTATATATTTTGAACAGAGATGCTGCAGCCCGGCTTACCATTTCATCTCCCCTGGAGGCCCACAAAGCAAACACTTTAGTGTATCATGTGGTTGGAGTAGATGTGGGATTTGAAAATCCAATGTTTGCCTGTTTGGAAATGGATTATGAGGTAATGGGGACCATGTCTCTTTCTCTTTGGGTTTTTCCAGTTACCTCTATGTTGTCTTCTTTGTGCATGTCTTGTAACTATCTTACTAGCAGTTCTTTTCTGTATTCGAAATATCTTGTTGCAGTTCTTTGTAACGATAATATAACAGCACTTTGCTCTGAGTTGAACAGTCTCCCTATAGAACCAAGGTATTTACTGAGAAAAGTTGCATGAAGAGGTAAAGTTGTATTTGGGGGATTATTTCACAGGGAAGTAGTGAAAGGCAGAGCATACCGTGCTTTGCCTTCAGTAGAAGGCAGTGTTGTCTAATACGGGTAACTCTGGACCCAGGATTAGGAGACCTGAGTTCTTCTTCCAGCTCTGCCATTACCTCGTAGTATGAACTTTGGCAAACCATTTGGCATCTATGGACCCCGTATCCTCATTTGTATAGTGGAGGGGTCCTGAAGTCCTTCCTTTCCAGCTCTAAGATTTATTTGATTTTATTGTATTTATTAGCCTTTGTGCCACTGTATTCTTCTGTAGGAAGCTGACAATGATCCAACAGGTGAAGCAGCAGCTAATACCCAGCAGACACTTACCTTCTATGAGTTAGACCTTGGTTTAAACCACGTGGTCCGAAAATACAGTGAACCTTTGGAGGAACATGGCAACTTCCTTATTACAGGTATTCTTCTCAGAGATGCTTTGTACTCTACTACTTGATCCATTTTATGCCCAAACATAGGAGGGTTTATTTAATAGGATTTGAAAATTAATCCATTTGTAGTAAACTTGTATACCTTGTCTATGCTAGGTATAGAAGTTTATGTCTAGGTTAGAAGTTCATGTGGTAGAGTGATAAAGAAGCCTTGTATGGATAAAGAGAATCTGTCTCTTTAGTAACTCATATACTCTAGTGGGGGCAGGAAGGAAAGCACCAGGAGAGCAGTCAGCTTGGAATATTGGTTACTATTAGTCTCTGTGATATTTTGATTGTAGTCAATCTTCTTTTATTAAGAAAATCAAAATTTGGTTCTTTGAAAATACAAGTGAAATAGACAAACCTATCAAGATAAAACTATAGGTCATTGAAGTTGAAAACTTAGATGAAATTTGAAAAGTGTTAACCAAATTGGTCCATGAAGGTATTAAGAACTTGAACAGGCCAACATACGTTAAAGAAATTGGAACACTGGTAAAAAATTTCTTACTCCCAAAAGAATTAGGTCCAGAATTTTGAGGGAAACTTTTATCATGTTGTAAAAGACATATACTGCCTTTTAAAACAAATTTTTCTGGAGAGTAGAAAATGAAAAGCTACTGAACCACTTTATGAGCCTAACACAATTTTAGTACCAAAACTGGGGAAGGGCGGTAACAAAAATTTATAGGATAGTTCTACTTAGGATTTTAGATACAAAATTCTAAAATTTTAGAAATCAGATTCAGTGGTGTTTTAGATAAATCATAGCTTATCATAGCTAGGTAAGATTTTTTGTAGGAACTCAAAGATGATTCAGCATTGGAAAATTAGTATCAGTTTAATTTTTTATATTAAAAGACTAAAGGAGGACAACTGTATTTGTGGTCATTTAAATTTCATTAAACTTCGGGAAGACAGTGATGCAGTCCTTTCTGTTTTTTAATCATTTCCACTTAAATTGACACCTGTCTTAGAGGATTTTGAAGAAGACTAATACGTTACTTGTCTTTGAGCATTAATCCTTGGGAAGAGACTTATACTAAGCAGGTGAACCTTGGAAAGTGTGTTATACACCTCGTTCCTTACTTCAACTTATTACCATACTTTTAATTTATGAGGACTTCGTTCATTCAACAAATATTTTTTGAGTGTCTGTTAGTATATGCCGAGTCAGTCTACTAGGTCTTGGGATTACAGTGGGAAAAATTAAATATTGCCTCCCTTTATGCAAGTTTGAATTTAGTGGGGGATATAGACAAGCAACAAAAAAATTGCCACTGAGAGTGCCAAGTGCCATGACAGCACTGGGGAGGGGAGCTAACCCAGGGAAAGGAAGCAGGTATGCTGGAGAAAGCTTTCTGTGTTCTCTAAGCTGAGAGTTGAGGACTACTAGGAGCTAAACCAAAAAAAAAAAAGTTGCAAGCCTATTGCTGTCAAGTTGATTCCGACTCATAGTGACCCTATGGGACAGGGTAGAACTGCCCCATACGGTTTCCAAGGAGCACCTGGTGGATTTGAACTGCTGACCTTTTGGTTAGCAGCCAATTTCTTAACCACTGCGCCACCAGAGCTAGCTAGGTACAATTATAGGTAGTGGAGGAGGGTTTCTGTTACAGTTAAAGGGAACAGCACATACAGAGGATCAAATGCAAGGAAGAACATGATCCATTCTGAGAACTGAAAGCTCATTCTGATTGGACCATTACTTCTAGGGGTGGTGGTTGGTGGTGTTAGCTACTGGCTACTGAAGGCTTTTAGGCAGGAGAATAATAACCTCGTAAGATTGACATTTTAGAAGAATTAATGACATTTTGTCTAATGGAATGGAATATATGTAAGACTAAGGGGAGGAGATGGAGGAGACTGTTAAGGAAGCTATTTCAGTAATCCAAGTAAGATAGTGGCAACATGAGAGAGATGCATGAATTTAAGAGCTGCTAAGGATGTAGAATGAAAAGGGATGGGAGAGATGCATGGGAGGGGAGAGAGATGAAGAATGACACCCATGCTTCTGGTTTGGTCTACTGGTGGATGGTAGTATTCTCCTAAGATGGAGACCCTAGAAGGTGAAACAGGTTTGGGAAGGAACTTGAGTTAGTTTATGAACACACAGTGTTTTTGAGGTGCCTGTGGAACATCCGGATCCTTGGTGGCACAGTGGTTAAGAGTTCTGCCGCTAACGAAAAAGGTCAGCAGTTCTAATCTACCAGCTGCTCCTTGGAAACCGTATGGGACAGTTCTGTTCTGTCTTGTTGGGGCGCTGTGAGTTGGAATTGACTCCATGACAACGGGTTTGGTTTGGTTTTTTTGGTGAAACATTCCATGTGGAAGTCTCTGGTAGGTAGTTGACTAAAGGTCTTAAGCTGACAACTGAGTTCTGGGCTTGGAGGTAAAAAATTGGATGAAATATCAAATACCTGAACAAGTGCTGGATGAGATTGCCCAAACTTTCCATATAAACAAACTGCTCCATCCTTGCCTACCATGGATCAGGGAGAGAAAACACTTGAAATGTTTCTCAGCCTTGGGTACACTGTACCTTCATCAGGTTGTGTTGAAGGAGAGAAGGGATTGAAAGTTAATTCTCGTAATTCATGGTTATATCAAATCACTGCTGAATTTTCTTTAACAGTTCCAGGAGGGTCAGATGGTCCAAGTGGAGTGCTGATTTGCTCTGAAAACTATATCACCTACAAGAACTTTGGTGACCAACCAGATATCCGTTGTCCGATTCCCAGGAGACGGGTAAGGCTCCTTTTTTCTTTTTTTTCCAAAGTACTGTGTGATCTCTTAATGATCTCTTACCAAGTTTCAGTTTCTTTGTAAATGTTATTTTTAACAAATCGAGTGAATTATTTTAGTAAAAATAAAGCAAATTCTTTGAGAAAGGGAATTAAAAACTAACACTTTATTTAAGAGGAACTCATGGACTTTGCCATTTTGAAATTTTTGAAAGTTTCTAGTTTGGAGAAGCCAGGCATCTTTGTTGAAGATAAATTCTGTCTTTTTGTCTTTTTTTTTCCCCCAACTTTTTATTTTGAAAAATTCCAGTGTACAGAAAATTTAAAAAGAATAGGATAATGAATGCCTCTATGCTCTTCACTAAGATTCAGTAATTAATGTTTTGCCATATTTGCTTTTTCTTTTTCATGATTTATTTGTATCTGTGTGTCTATATATATTATGTATAAGCCTAAAACATTTGAAAATATGGTGCAGACAATTCAAGAATCGTCTTAAGATGTATCTCCTAAGAAGGGGGACATTTTCCTCCATAGCTGTACTAGCAATATCACACCTAAGAAATTTAACATTTTGTATAATACCGTTATCATATATACGATTCATATTTAAGTTCTACCTTTATTTTAATTCAGAATCCAATCAGGGATCACACATTGTATTCGGTTGTAGTGTCTTCTTAGGCTTTTAATTTAGAATATTTTATCTTATCTGTTGGTTGGTCTGTTTGTTTTTTGGTCTTTTATGATATTAGCAGTTTTGAAGAGTCTACAATAATTTTCATATAGATTATGCCACAATCTGTGATGTTATGATTATATCCAGGTTAATCTTCATAATAGCATTATTACATAAGTGATATTAGGGACACAGAAGCTCTGAGTCGAAAATGACTCAATGGCACCTAACAACGTGGGTTTGTCTCATTGGTGACGCTAAATTTTGGTCATTTTGTGATGTCTAGCTAATTTATTTAATTACTTTATTCTAAAGGCACCTTTTCTTTTTTATAATTAACATGGAATTTATGGAGGTGATCTTAGTGACTGTGTGAATATCCCTTTCCCTAACATCTTTTTACCCAGTGGTTTTGGTATTGCTTGATCTTTCCCCTGAATTGGTTATTACATTGGTGTTTGCAAAATGATGTTTTTTTATTGTCTTTTATCTTTATTATGGAAATGATACAAGCATACCCAAAAATAGAATATAGTGAACTGTGTACTCATCATCTAGCTTCAACAATTATCAATACATCACCAATGTTGATTTATCTGTTTTCTCAGTCTCCCCGCCCCAGATTATATATGATCCTTATAGTATTTATTTATAGGCCCTGGGCTTAAGCCTTTTAGATCTTGGTTGATCTAATACATGGTATCTGAGTGAGACTCTGAATTTTAGAAAACCTCAGGAGAAATTTGGCAAGTTAGGTGTTAAGCTGTGAGTAGTCACTTAGTTTGGTTGATCACTTGTTTACTGAGTACCTAACTACTAGGCAGTGTACTTGGCTTTGTGGCTACAAAGAAATATAAAACATCTTTCACCCTTGAAACTTTACTTAGAGAAGTACAAAATGTTGAAAATATTTAAAAAAATTTTTTTTTTTTAAATCTTAACCAAGGGGAGACCTTGTGGGAGGCCTTTAGCTATCAAGGAATTTGATGTAGAACAGGGCTGATGATGGATAGTTTGGATGCAGTGTTGTGGTTGTATGTGAATATTTATTCACAGCCTGAAATGATGATTCTTTAAATTTCATGTCTCTTCTCTGACATGTTTCTCTGGAGATACTTCTTCCCTTACTGATCTGATCAGGCTGTAGAGTGCAATTGTGGCCATTTTTTGGTACCCAGCCTTTGTTATATACTTGGAGAAGACAAGAATTTTCAACTACTGTGTTTTACTACCTAGGCTGACAGGCTGCTCTGGGTCAAAGCTTGTATAGAGAAGCTCCAGGTGCCTCTGAATAAGAAATACCTATTTTTAAGATTTTTTGTGTTTTACCTTTCTAGAATGACCTGGATGACCCTGAGAGAGGAATGATTTTTGTTTGCTCTGCCACCCATAAGACCAAATCGATGTTTTTCTTTTTGGCCCAAACTGAGCAAGGAGATATCTTTAAGATCACTTTGGAGACCGATGAAGATATGGTAAGCAAAGCATGGATGGAATGGGAAAAAATGAAAAAACCCATTTGTTGTGGTTAGACTAGTTTGATAAAAGTTCTTGTAACTTTATTTTAATTAAATAACTTTTTTTAAATTATGCTTTAAGTGAAAGTTTACAATTCAGGTTAGTGTCTCATAAAAATTTATACATACATTTAATTGTTACGTGACCCTAGTTGCTCTCCCTATACTGTGACAAGACACTCCTCCTTTCTACCTTGGATTTCCTGTGTCCATTCAACCAGCTCCTGACCCTCTCTGCCTTCTCATCTCGCCTCTGGACAGGAGCTGCCCATTTAGTCGCATGTATCTGCTTGAGCTAAGAAGTACACACTTAATGAGTATCATTTTATGTCCCATAATCCAGTCTAATCTTTGTCTGAAGCATTGGCCTCGGGAATGGTTTTAGTTTTGGGCTAACATAGTCCGGGGGCCCTGTCTTCCGGGGTCCTTCCAGTCTCAGTCAAACCGTTAAGTCTGGTCTTTTTACTAGAATGTGAGTTCTCTTCTCCACTTTTCTCCTGCTTCGTCAGGGACTCCCCGTTGTGTAAATAACCTTAATTTTAAAAAATGGTATCTGTGTATACATTTAAGGCCTACAAAGCAGTTTCACACACCATTTTTCTTTACAATCACTGTCTGAGATAAGACAGTTTAGTACTTCACGACTTAAAAATAATGGAAACAGAATGCCTTGGAAAGTGGTTGCCTAAGCGTAAAAGCTTAGTTTGGAACCTGGTATGTGAATGTAGGTTTTCTCCCTCTGGTTAACAGGTTTCTGTTCTCATAGTCTCATATGTTATGTGACTGAGTAATGTCACTTTCTTTCAGGTGGTAGAAATTCGTTTGAATAACAAGAGAAAGCTCTCCATGTCTACTGAAAACTAGTAATACATATGATCTGTCTACTTCTTTTACCTTACAGAGAAGCTCCTTGAACAACTGGCCAGTTTCTTAGATAACTGATTGGATCAAGGGGTCTGCAGACTTTTTTTTTTTATTTAATTAAGGCCAGATAGTAAATATTTCAGTTTTTGTGAGCCATATGCTCTCTGTCTCAACTACTCAACTCTGCCATTGTAGCACAAAAGCAGCTATGGATAGTATGTTAAAAAATAGGCACGGCAGGCCTATTTGTTGATCTCTGGTTTAGATAATGGAGTCCCTGGGTGGTACAAGTGGTTAACATGCTTGGCTGCTGAAAGGTTGGAGGTTTGAGTCCACCCAGAGGTTCCTTGGAAGATAGGCTTGGCGATCTACTTTGGAAGAATCAGCCATAGAAAACCCTGTGGGGCACAGTTCTACTCTGACACATACGGGGTTGCCATGAGTCAGAATCCACTGAAGGAAGCTAGTTTTTAACTGGTTGGTTTAGGTACTAAATACAGCATTTTATTTCCGACTCTGCTAATGCTGTCTTATGATAATACTGTGTTCCTATCTGTGGCCTGGCTTCAGTTGGCTACACATTAGAATTTTTTTTTTTTTTTCCCCTCCCTACCACTCCAGGTTACTGAGATCCGGCTCAAGTATTTTGATACTGTGCCTGTAGCTGCTGCCATGTGTGTGCTTAAAACAGGCTTCCTCTTTGTAGCATCCGAATTTGGAAACCAGTGAGTAATCCTTTTATTACCATAGTTCACCCTAGTTATTATAATAATTGGCAGGAGGTGTGACTTCAGGATCATAGTTTTTCACAATAATAGTCTATTTGAAACCAAAGTTTTGCCCTCATTTCCCCTTTACGTTCTTTCTCTTGGTTATCTTCATCTACTTTACTGGCTTCACTCACTACCTCTGGGTGGCCGTAAAAATGTCTTTAGAAGTGATAGCTTTCCTTAGCTTAGTATTTCGTTGAATAAATATTTATCAGAGTACTTATATTTAAACATAAGTTCCATAAACACCTCACTTGAAGCCTGTCAGTATTTGCACCTGTCTACCCAAATCAGCAACCCTCCCAACCTCAGTATTTTTGTAATGAGTAACATGCCAGTTCTAGCAGTTCAAGTGTAAAACCTCAATTTGTGTTGTCCTCCACCACTTTCAAGTACTAAGTTTTGTTTTTCCTTCTGTAGCCCTCTTTTGCAGTATTAGTCTGAACTAGTTCACTAGTTGTGAAAATGGCACTGGGGTGTCTGACTTCTTCTGACTTCATGACAGGGGAGGAGAATCATGATCAATAGCCAAGGTTGATTCCTATGAAGTGAAGGTCAGACATGCCTTCTCTCTCCAACCTTTTCACCAGCTGTCTGTCTCATGGCACTCTGTACTTTTCTGCTCTGCGAGGTTTGATAATTCATTGCAGTGGTCACACAAAACTCAGACAATACTCAGGATTTTCAGATTTATTAGGAAAGTAACAGTTTATAATTCAGAACAGGAACAGCTCAGGATACAGTTCTTCAGTCAGGACAGCTTTTCAGTCGTGCTGCAGGCAGACCTCTCCCTCGGCCCCTGGGCTTCTGGGCCCCTCAGCCTGGCCTCTGCCTTGCTAGGTCAAGCGTTACAAAGCTCTTTAGCTCTGCCGATAAGTGCCCAGAGATACCTGACTCCACCGGGAAGCCTGCCTGAAGGTGCTTGGCTCTCACTCTGTAGGTTGGCTTGCCTACTGTAGCCACCTCACTCCATGGCCTGGGAAGCCCACCGTGCTGTCCCTTCTCTGGGTTCTGCTGCTGCAGTTTTTCTGCTGCTGCTTTGCACTGTCTCCAGTGTTATAGCTCTCCGTCTGTCTCCTGGGTCTAGGAGGTTCTCAGTGTAGAGACCCCAGGTCCAAGGGATGTGCTCTACTCCTAGCTCTTCTTTCTTGGCGGTAGCAAGGTCCCCTCTCTGCTGTGGGATTGGCTCTTTTAAGCCTAGTGGGATGGGAAAACTGACCAATCTTCTCATTAGCATTCCAAACACCTTATTTGCATGGTCCCCCCCCCATGTACCTTATTTGCATTATTGCCAAGTTGTCCAGTCCCCTTGGTGGGCCACAAGCACCCTATTTGCATAGTCCCACCCAGTCATTTTGTAAGAGTCACAAGACTGGTGAGGAGGGCCACATAAAAATGATTCTTTGCACTGCTGTAGTCTTATTGCATTTCATTGTCTTTCCTGCAAAACTCAACCTTTATAGAGTCATCTCATTAAGCAAAGAAGGCATAAGCCTGACAAAGTCATTTTCTCTCTCCCTGTGTTCCAGCTTTTTGTTGCAGAATAAAAGCCCATTGCTGTTGAAATGGTTTTGAGTCGTAGTGATCCTATAAAACAGAGTAGAACTGCCTCATAGGGTTTCCAAGGAGCAGCTGGTGGATTCAAACTGCCAGACCTTTTGGTTAGCAGCCGTAGCTCTTAACCTCTGAACTCTTTTCTTTGTCCTTGAATTTAAGACTATTAGATAATGCAGATTACTTACTTGAGGTAGCACGACAAGATCTTGCTTTTTAGTTCAGGTTTTGCCAGTATCTACTGAAGTCTGCAAACCACTTAACTAATCTAATGCTCAGTTTTCTCATGATTAAAATGAAGATATTGGCTAGGATTCTGTGATCCTCTTTCATTTCCTCCCTGTCTCTTATCTTGTGGCCTGTTTTCTGCCCACCCAAGTTGAACTGTTTTTCCTTTCTTAATTCATTTTACTTCTCAATTACTTTGTCCCTACTGTTTTTGTATTTCGCTGTTTCCTGGTTTATAGTTGCAGTGTGGTACTTTTCATCTGTATCGTTTTATTATTTATGTCTATTTTCATTAATTTCTCATTTTTTTAGTTTGTTATACAAGCAATTTTTATTGTATAAAAGTTATAAAGTGTATGCAAGCAGAAATGTCACCCGTAATCCTTCCACCAAAGATAACGTTTTGTGACTTTTCTTGTGCATACGTATGTACATATTTTTATTAAAATACAGTAATATATAATATACCATTTTGTAACCTGCTTTTTTTTTGTACAGTGAATATTTTTCTGTAGTGATAAAGAGATTTGTAGTATGTTTTTGAGCATTGTTTTTAATGTTCAGATAATATTTCATTAGATGTGTATATAGTTATTTACTTAAACAAGATTATATTTATTGTTTGATAGACTTTTTTTTTTAATTGTACTTTAGATGAAAGTTTGCAGAGCAAATTAGTTTCTCATTAAACAATTAATACACATATTGTTTTGTGACATTGGTTGCCAAACCCACTACATGTCAACACTCTTCCCCTCTTCCTTCTTGATCTTGAGTACCCTATTACCAGCTTTCCTGTCCCCTCCTGCCTTCTCTTCCTTGCCCATGGGCTGGTGTGCCCATTTGGTCTCTTTGTTTTATGGGCCTGTCTCATCTTTGGCTGAAGGGTGAACCTCAGGAGTGAGTTCAATACTGACTTAAAAGAGTGTATGGGGGCCATACTCTCAGGGTTTCTCCAATCTCTGTCGCGCCAGTAAGTCTGGTCTTCTTTTTGTGAGTTAGAATTTATCTCCAACTCTGTCTAGGACCCTCTATTGTGATCCCTGTCAGAGCATTTGGTGGTGGTAGCCAGGCAGCATCTGGTTGTGTGGGACTCGGTCTGGTGTGGATAGACTTTCTTAAGGATATGATTCCTGGATTAGAATATGTATGTTTTCGAAGCTTTTGACACATTGCTATATTATTTTCCCAAAGTTTGTACTGATTTATAC